TGTGAATATGACAGTATATTTGTCAAGCTGTGTATTCATCTAAAAATTTGTTTTCTTTTTTGTCTGTCAGATTACCTGTATATCTATTTGTCTGTCTATCTATTATTTATCCTTTATCAATCATTTACGTACCTTTCTCTGTCATCTTACTATCGTCTTTCTGTAACCGTTTATCATGCTTTCATGTATCTATTCATCTATGTCTATATTTAAGTCATTTTTGGTCTGTCCCATTGGATGTCTAGATTGTTTCTTTCTCATTATTTATTCGTCTGTTTCTTGACTATATGTATGCCCATTAATTGATTTTTCTTCACTTCTACCACCCCATTTTTGTACGTTCATATTTCTTTGCATAAGTTTACCGGTATTAAGATAGAACAGTATTTTGTGGTTATGTTTCTAATTTCATCGACGCGTTGCCTGTCCCTGATAATAAGGAACTCGTTGAAACGAGTAAATTGTGACGAACGATGAAAAACATGAAAGGAACGTTTTCAGCCTTCTCTACAGTTGAATTCTCAGGCATAATTGCAATTATACATCGATTAGGCGTTTACACCATTGTCGATTAAATAGCTTTTAGCAGCTCATAATTACTTTATTTTTAGAATCTTTTAGTGTACGCTTCTATAAGAATATTTTTTCAACTCAACTACCTACAGTGGCAAATGTATTTGTTTGTTGAGAACGTCACTTTGAGCCGATCTGATAAGCAAAACGTCTTCGGTTTGTGATGTTAAATGTATGCAAACTTTAGCTATAAGGCACCGGTTGCTACATCGCAGAAAGAGATATTCCTCTTCGACAGCAGATCTGTCTGTAACTTGTTCCTCCATTTTTCATTTTGATTATTTCGTTAAATTGAATATACTAGCACTTTGATTTTAACCTTATGCATTTTCCTGCTTTCAGACAAATTCAATATTGATGAAAATACTGGGGTTATCACGACCTTGGTGCCGTTGGACAGAGAAGAACAGAGTATTCATATTTTGGTCATAGCGTGCCTGAGAAGGAAGCAAAGACGTTCGAGGGATTTAAAGGCGAACATGAATCTTCTCGGTAAGGGCAACTTTATATGATCCTGAATATGACATGTAGACAGTAGTGCGAAGCAGAAACTTTGAAGTTCCCCAAAGTGTCGTTAATGGAAGACTCAATTTTATGTACCCCTATAAAGTGTTAAATTTTAAGTTAGTGGTTATCGTCTTGAAATGATGAAAAGAAATAGTCGGTGAAGAGTTCTCTTTATTTCCTGCCAGTTCACTTCTCTTTATTCTCAAGGAAACTTGTTTATTGTCACTGTCTCATCACTTAAGCAGAGGATGTTTTGCATGTGTTCTATGTGCCCTTTCCAAAAGTAGTGTTCTTCAACGAATTCGAACGGTTCTTGCAGATTGCCTCCTTTCAGAAACCGTGAATGTCCGGTTCGACGAAGCACTAGTAATAATTAAAGTTGGAGACGTCAACGACAATCCACCAAGTTTTGTCGAATCGAAGAAGGACATAATATTTCCGGTCGAATTGGACTCAGGTTCATTTCCCCGTTATGTGGGCGTGGTGAAGGCGATCGATCCTGATGTTAGCTCAAAGATCAAGTTCTCCATCGTTCACAAAGACGACGACGACTCGAAGATGTTTCTTATTAATCGACACAACGGTGAGGTTCAGCTTCGTACGAGTTCGAAGGATATGTTGAAAACGCGGACGAAATTCAAATTTACCGTCAAAATCACCGATTCGGTTAACGAAGCGATGAAGCAGGTTGTGGTAAGACTTTCTGGTTTTCGTTCGGTCATGATTCTCTCATTCAGCCGTGTTTCATAGGTGTTCTACCTAGCAACTCAGACGGGAATCACGATGACGTCATCCCGCTCGGCAGACGTCATCAGTTCCTACCGCAAGACACTAGAAAAGTATACGCCAAACTGACTGCTGGCTGTGTTACCTTTTCTTCCTCATGCTCATAACCAATTTTCAGGAAATTTCATAAGCTTACCGGCAAGGAAGTGATCATTGGACGAGCGGATGACCTAGTTTTGGCCCAGTACAACGGGTAAATTTCTGTTTTACACATTTTTACCTTGAATTAGAAATTTTCCCAACTCTCAGGTCACAGGTTCAAATTTACGGCATCGATCCTGCAACCATGGATGTTGTTCCACAAGCAGAGATGGCCAGGTATGATGAAGTTTACCCACGTGATGTTTTCTTACGCGATTTGCTTTGAGGGTTGCTAAAAAGCATAAGCACATTTCTGTTAGTTTAATCGTTAAAATTTCTGACCTGATTTTAATGTCAGAAATGTTGAGACCAATCAAGTTATTCAGCTTATAGGGTAGTATTTTTATTAGGAATCTTAACTGCATTTCTACAGACCTCTGAACTGCATAGCGAGCAAATGACGACAAACTTCATTACTCATTCAGAGTGGCAACGTTGTTGTCACTCACGTAAATGTACAGATTTCAGTCTGATTACTGCGTTTGGCCTCCAGGCCTTGACCATCAAAGTTATTCTTGAAAATTTTTTTTCGTCACAAGCCATGATCTATCGATCATAGTGTGATTCTTCTATTCGCCTCACCGTTGATGGATCGCCGCAGGAAAGTTTGCAACATTTATCCTTATCATTTTTTCAAGGATTAATACAGTGACATGTCGTCCGAATGCCGCTAGATAGGATGACCAAGCAACTCTATTACTTGCTACACGGACATGCAGGGGTGTTGTCGAAGGCTCAGAACTAATGAAACTAGTACGAAAATGAATTGAGCTCTACATTGTCATGTTCCACGCTGACTTTAAAGTAGTGACGCAAGATCGTGAACTGCTGACGACATTGCGACCTCCTTCTCCCGTGAGCACGATGGGTAAATGGTGTCAAAAACTGACTGAATGACTGACTGCACTTAAAATAACCCCTAGATTATTAGGTAGTTACTACAATGGAGCTTTTCAATTTTGTCCGCAAAAAATAATATTTCAATTTCTGAAACCGGATTTAAACCGGGATAAACGCACCGACCCCTTGCTTCTAGTCGCCTATGTGAACCGTTTAACCAAGCCACGGCTCTAGGATGTTTGAGCACGTCCAACGCAATGGTCGCAACAGCGTATCATTGAGTTGAGCTGAACAAGGGCGCGCTCATGCACTAGCTAAATCTGCCATTATGCTTTGTTAAATTAAACGCTGATATCATAACTTCGTTGTTCTGGTATACCTGTCACAATGTAGCGGTTCAGTTGCGCAAAACATTTCAGTTTTATTAAAGGACTGACTGACTGTAAC